ATTTACGATTTAACCCATTTCCCAAAATCACAACAAAAAAAAATACTTGCTTCTTGATGTTACAGATTGGGTACCATGATCGTGTGTCAAAATCGTGTAATTGTGAAAAATGAAAGCGTGTAAAAACGTGTAATTTTACCAGCATATCGTGCAATTTCACAAATTCAGATTGAGAACACTGCCTTGCATATACCTACATAATTTGTAGTCATTTATTGATTTTTTTTTGACAGCCATGCGGAAAAGATTTAGATTTTTCCGCGCCGATATTTGTGCGGAAAAAAATTCGCCGCACCGTGCGAGAAAATCGATTTTCCGCACTGTTTAATTGTCTCTCGTAGAAAAAAAAATTTTTGAATGCTCAAAGTAAACGTTTTTGGGCGTGGCACCCGGGAAAAAATGGGCTGATTACCCCCCCCCAGACGCATGGGCTGGATACGCCGGTGCATTCCAGGTTGACGTCATAACCGATCCGCCATTTTAGCTGAGGGGCAAACACAAGCCAAACATAACCTGATTTAGTGTTATTTTCAATGCAAACCGAGAATTTTTGAACTATTATTTTGTGAAGATGTCTTCGTTTTGTGGCGTTTTTGGGTGCTCCAATAGAGTTGAAAGGGATAAAGTGAGGTTTTTTAGGATTCCAGCAACATTTAAAGATCAAGGGGATCGCATGAACGAGCTTTCAAAAAAACAACGGAGTATGTGAATTAGATGCCTCAAAAGGGGAGATTTGACTGTAACGCTGTTGAAAATGCTCGAATTTGTTCGAAACATTTTGTTAATGTTAAGTTTTATGACTGTCTTGTTGTTAAAATACAAAAACACTTCATCTCGGTACATCAAAAAAGTTGTTTATGTTTCTACAAGTATATAGGTAACTTTTAATACCGTCAAACGGGGTGACTCTGGACTACGGGTTGACTTGGGACACTTGGGCGCGCGCTTCCATAAAAATTGGCAACAGGGGTGAGCAAGGTGGGAGGTCAACATAAATATTCTGGGGATTAGCATACACTTTGAGGTCTTTAATACACCTAATGCGGGCGGCACCGGGTGAGTCTTTACAGCGACAAAAAATTTGTTTTCAAAGTATAGAGAATCGGTGTTTTTTCAAACCGCTACAATTGTTGTCTGTAAATATATCAAGGTAAGTGATGACATGTATGTTTTATTTATTTTTTTGTCCGCTAATATGTTGTTAAAGATGTAATAAGGTCGTTTTTGCTCAGAAATTTTTATTTATTTTTTTGTGATAGAAAATCTGATTGAATGCACTTTTTAGGGTGACTCGGGACATGCCTCGTAAATATGTTAGGAGGCTTGGCGCAAGGCCATATCAAAATTACGACAAAAAAAGACTTGAAATGGCCGTTAGGGAAAGGTTAGCGAAACAAACAAGTTATAGAGAGTTAGAGGAACGGTATGGGGTATCCAGAAATACCATTAATCAGCATGTCATCAAACAAAATTTAAAAAAACCTGGGGGTCAATTGGCCTTAGCTGAAGCAGACGAAAAAAAAATAGTGAATTCTTTGTTGTGTGTTGCCGATTGGGGATTTCCCTTAGAACCAATGGATATACGGATTTTGGTAAAACAATACTATGACAGAATGGGTGTAAACATAAAAAGATTTACAAATAATATGCCAGGGCCGGACTGGATGAAATCATTTTTATTGCGCCACAAAAATAATTTGGCTTTAAGACTTTCCGAAAACATTAAACGAGCAAGGGCTGCAGTTGACAGGCAAGCAATAAATGTCTATTTTGATGAACTAAACTTATCTCTAGAAAACATTCCTCTTGCGAACATCGTGAACTATGATGAGACAAACTTCACGGACGATCCGGGCCGTCAGCGTGTCGTTATTCGCAGAAGCAACAAACATGCAGACCGTATTCTTGATTCCAGTAAAACATCAACATCAGTCATGTTTGCAATTAGTAGATCTGGTGTAATGTTGCCGCCATACGTGGTGTTCAAATCAGAACATCTCTATGAAAACTGGATAAGAAATGGACCACAGGGTTCTAGATATGGAAATACAAAAAGTGGATGGTTCGATTCAAATCAATTTGAACAGTGGTTTTTGACTATAGCATTAGGCTACTTCCGAAGACTTGAGGGGCCTAAGGTTGTAATAGGCGATAACCTGAGTAGCCACATCTCCCAAAATGTCATCATGGAATGTCAAAAAAATAATATCAGATTCGTTTTGCTACCTCCCAATAGCACCCACCTTACACAACCTCTGGATACAGCATTTTTTAAACCACTCAAGCAATCGTGGAGAAAAATTTTGTTAGAGTGGAAGAAAAAAAATAAAGGAGTACTCCCAAAACCTGAGTTTCCAGGCTTATTAAACAAAGCTTTGGATAATATTGGAGACAAGCTAGAAGACAACATAAAGGCTGGATTTCGTTGTTGTGGTCTTATTCCACTCGACAGGGATCAGGTCTTGAAACGTCTACCCCCAGAGCCTGTTCGAGAAGATGAGGGCCAACTAGCTTGGACCGAAACGCTCACAGACTTTTTAAAGAACCAGCGAACTCCAACAAACCCAGCAAAGAAAGGTAAAGGAAAGAAAATTCTAGTAACACCCGGTAGAAGTGTGACATGTGAAAGAAGTTCTGACTCCGATTCTGACAATAGTGAAATGGAGATGGAATTAAATAGAAGTGAATCTGATGATAATGGGAGCATACAAGACATAGAGTCTGAGGGAGAAGAAAGAAATCAAAATGAAGATGTGGAAAACCTGGAAGAAGAGCCAGAGGAAGTGACTGATTTGCACATTGAAGATTTTGCAATTGTAAAATTTACAGACGGAAAGTTTTCGAAAAATTTTGTGGGAAAAATTTTAGACAAATCTGGTGACCAAATAAGAATCACTTTTTTAAGAGAACATTCGAAAATAGAAAATGGCTTTGCTTTTCCAATAGTTCCCGATGAATCCACAGTAAACATTTCCCAGGTTTTGAAAATACTTCCAAGACCTGTGGAACTGCGAAGAGGTGCAGTTAAATTTCCATTCCAAATAAATTTGAAAAATTAGGTAGACCCATTATTGTTATCGAAAGAAATGACCTTTTTTTTTATAATTTCTTGTGTAGAAATTTTTTTATTTTGTTCAAAAATCAATAAAAATAATGTTTACTTTTTTAAAAATTTCTATTTTTGTCCCGTCTCACTCCAGAAACGCCTTACAATGGTTTCTAGTGCTAAATAAGTGCTTGTCCCTAGTCACCCCCGAAAACGGGGTGAAACGGGACAATTTTCAAAATTTAAAAAAAAATATTTAAGATTTTCGAAAAAATATTATTTTTAGCATACGTGTTCCCAAAATATGTAGAAACATGTAGCCACCTTAAAATTGCCATTTACTAATTCTGGTCATGAAATATTCACAAAAAAGTGTCAAATCCGTCCTTAGTCACCCCGTTTGACGGTACCTTTTAGGTAGTCCAGCAGAATTTAAGGATACAAACAATCCGGATTGGGTGCCCAGTACAAATTTAGGATATACTACGATAATTGATAGAAGAAGCCCAGAATGAACAAGCCAGTAAGCTAAGCTGCATGCCAGATCTGTGCACCGATCAGAACAATCAAAACGTTTGAGGAGTCATTCTACCACAAATTTATTTTGCTACAGTTTATTTGTAAGGTTGTTAGTATCAAACTTTTTTATTTTTTAAACAATTTATATTCTTAAGCATTATTTTTGTTAATAAATTGTTTGTTTACTATTGCTATCTCAATTTGAACGCATTTTTAGACTGCAGAAGAGAGCTCTTCGTTATTCTTTGGGACTTGGTAGTAGAACTCACTGCCGGGAATTTTTTATCAAGTCTAGTATATTGACTCTTCCATCTTTATTTATTTTCGAATCCGTCTGCTTAATTCGTAAGCACTTAATATCAGCTATCTCAGAGAGGCCATCTCACCATTATCCACTGAGGAACGCAGAGTTGGATCTTTATCTGCCAATCCCGCGCTCAGAGTTAGTTAAAAGTTCAATACTTTATAATGCTAAAAAGATGCATAATCATCTACCGCCTAACATCAGGTCCATTGCATCTTTTCTCGAATTTCGCAGGGCGTTGAGGGTGTATTTACTGAGGAGAGCCTTGTACACAGTAAGCGAGTTGTTTATGGTTTCCTAATTCTAAATTTTGAGCAGCTTACTCACAGGTTTTGTTTTTGTTCCTGTATCATGATAGGTTATTATAAGTTATTGTTTGTTTGTTTTTTTAGTACCTATAATATGCTTACTCGCACAGTATAAGCAGTTAGACCTAGATGTTTGTTTGTTAGTTTTAATCAAATTTTGACCATGAACTATTTGTTCAAGTGTTTGGTTTTGTCTGTGCTTTTGCATTTGTATGTTTTGTTTTTTATTTTTTCAGCTTTGTCCACAAAATTGTAAAATTTTCTGACAATAAAGCAAATTCTTTCTTTCTTTCTTTCTTTCTATTGTTGAATTGAAATGTAAAGTGGTATGTCTGTAAATAAAGATTCGTTCATTCATTCCATTCATTCACAAAAACTAAAAACAACTTAAAATTTATTGAATAAATCAAAAAACGCAAAAATTCCAAAGCACAAACTCAAAAAACATTGTAAACAATGATCTATAGGCTTTGTTTGCCCCTCAGCTAATATGGCGAACCTGTCAAAAGTCACGTGACCTGGAATGCCTAATCAACCCGGAGGTGACTCGCTATTGAGAAACCGGCCCTGAGGCAACATTCTAGCCCACCAATAACTGATATTAATTTTTATTTGATTTTTTTTTTTTCTTGTCAGAAAAATGGCGAGAGGATAATTTTATGGGAAAAGGGGATTTTTTGAAGGCCTTTGAGGGAATTCTGACGACGTAGTTTATGACTTCGTCAATGGTGCTACACGGTATGGCCGTGATTCCCAAAAACGAGGCCGATAAGCAAAGCAAACCTGTGTAGTAGTGTGTATTATCCTTGATTGGTTAGTAGGGGTGATTTTGAGGTTAATGTCAACGTCAAGGTATACTTCACTATTGTATTTTATTTAAATTTTAAAAATAGATAAATAAACTAAAAACTAGGGAAGCCGATTTTGCATAAATTGTTTGTTTTTCATCGAATTATTGTGCGGTATTGTGTCGGTATCCTGTGAACAAAATCGCTGTTACGGAATGGAAAATAATAGCAAATTATATTTTTTGTTTGGTGACAATTTGACAGGTGCCAGCTCACCCTATTTATCAATAGCTTGATGTTGCATTAATAATAATTTAAATAAAATATATTATAAGTTCTTTGAAAGCAGAAATGGCGTACGAGGGAGACATGCAGAACAATGACGAATTGAAATTAACACCCTCGTTGGTAGAGAGCCTGCAAGCTGATTTCAGGAGTTTGGTTTCTGAATCAAAGAAGAAATATCCACAAGTCAGAGAGGTAAAAATAGTTGAGATTTATTAAGTTACCCGATTAGTTACCCATTTATTCATTAATAGCATAAATTGCACTATCTAGTATGATATGACAAAGGCAAATATATTTATAACTACCCTTGTTTCTATATTAAATATTGCTCTAGACTTGCCTGAGCATTATTTTAAAACACTCTACTTTTCTCCAAAGATGTACAGGCGGTGCCGGTACACTTCACGGACACACAAAATTAGGGTGTTTCTGAATTTTATCAAAAAGAGGGTACTTCAATTTATTTATTAGAAGAGAAAAAAATGCGGATTATCTAGTAAAAAAGGGTCTGGTATGATAACTTATGGGTTTCGGCATTTTTTGTTTTTTTATGAGAAAGATTCCTACAAATAGAAAGATGTAATGTAAGCTATAAATAAATGCGAAAAATACACATTTTCCATCAGAAAACTATTATAGAAAATTGACGATTTCACCTTTCGAAAACCAGTTACGAAAATTCCCCACTATCGATCGCTATCAGCAGGCTTTGTTATTAACCATTACCCAGTGCACATATAACCAGTTATAAAAGAACTGTAACGAAATTGACCAAAAATATTTAAACTATCCCAAACTATCCCGTCCACGTAATGCGTACCAGTCGTGTTGATATTGAATTTAAAAAAACAAGCGCGCCTCGCGCGCTTTGTTGTTAACCAGTACACTTATAACCAGTATTAAACAAAACTAACCAGAAATATGCAAACTAGCCCAAACTAACCCGTCCATGTAATGCGTACCAATCCTTGCCAATATTGAATTTAAAAAAACAAGCGCGCTTCGCGCGCTTTGTTGTTAACCAGTACACTTATAACCAGTATTAAACGAAACTAACCAGAAATATGCAAACTAGCCCAAACTAACCCGTCCTCGGAGTGTTGAGATCTCGAGCTATACGTATGGACAAACGTCACACGCCACGTTACGAACGGTACAAATCTAGTGCGTGGCGCTGCCGGGGAGCTCTAGAGCGCGCCAATATGCTTACTGGAAAGCTGCTCTTGTTTTACAAAAAAAAAATGTACGAAGAAAAGATAGGTAGTTTAATGTGAACAAGCATCAACTCGACACAGAGAAATAATTTATTTCTTAAAAACTACTGAATAATCCGCAAATTTTAATTTTCTTTAATACTATATAAAAGACCCTCTTTCTTATAGAATTTGAAATTTTGAAAAAAAAAGTGTGTCCGTAAAGTGTACCGGAGCCGTACAGTCCTCTCCTGTAACTACAGCCTCTATAATATATTAAATGTTATCCAACAAGTCGATCATGTGGAGTGTCTATTTAGGTCTGACATATAATACCTAAAGGAATTAGGCATCAGGATCATCATCATTATCACAAATTGTAGGTAGTTATATTCCTGTAATTTGTTTTTTATCATTACATTTTTGTTCTATTATTCATACAGTGATTCATTCTCTAGATCTCATAATAGGTTTCGAAGGTATAGATAGTCAAGCATACAGTTCATTTCATTTTATTTCCAGAAAAAACATCCTCTAGAAATGCGTTTATTCCATTTTCTTAAATATTACAAAAAAAAAAAAATACAGAATTCACCAATCCTAAATCAATATAAAATAGTCGCAGACTTTTTTGTATATTGCACCTAGATGTAAACATCTGTATGTGCAGTGTTTCCTATTATTTTATTTATAAATGCTAATAAGTTTCCACTTTATAGAAAAAAAAAAAAAAAAAACAATAAACAACAACAGTGCGTTTACTAAGTAACTAATCCCAATCCTAATCCTATAAAAATTCTCACATCCAAGGAAATAAAGGCAATTAAAGGCAATTCCCCCTCCAATAATGCTAGCCAAAAAACCCTTCAAATTGACATCGATTTTTGAAAATCACCTTCTTGCTATGCGTTTTAAATGTTTTTATTTTACCGCAATTTCTCACTTCACCTGGCAATAAATTGTAAAATTTAGGGCCAAAATAATTCACATATCTGAGATTAAGATTATTTTTGCTTATTGGAAGTTTAATATGACCATCTACTCTAGTTCTCGTTCTATAAGTATGGTTCACCAGTTGTTTCAAGTTAGAGTGAATATGAACATATGAGCAAATTGTTAAAATATAGATTGATCTAATACTCAGAATGTCCTCATTGAAAAGCAGTTGTGTAGGGTATAATCGATTTTTCTTATAAATAATCTTGAGAATATATTTCTGAATTATATTTAATTTATAGAGGCTATTGTTATAGAGTCCACCCCACACCAAAATTCCATATCTTATGATTGATTCTACAAAGGCTTTATAAATTGTGATAAGAGTTTCTTTATTCAAGAATTCTCTTAATAGGTAAAATTTATGAATAAGTTTACGAATTCTGTTAGAGACATAGTCAATGTGGGGCAGCCACTTAAGAAACTTATCAATCACAATTCCAAGGTATTTTATTGAGGAGGTCTCTTCAATACAATGATCATCAACAACAATGTTATTATATTGTGGTCTACTCGGTGGTCTATTTGCGCTAGTGAGTGAAAAAGCTATATATTGTGTTTTTGTTAGGTTTAGCGTTAATTTAAAGTTCAAGCTCTATTTGTCTGATTTACGTTCCTACACTGTCATAACCATCAAATTCATAAATCACTAAAATAAGCAACAACAATTAGTGGGAGTGATAACTGTATATAATGCAACAATGAATAGTGTTGTTGTTATTGTAATCGTTTATTTAGCTATTATAACTAATTTTACAGTCTGCAGTTACCGAGGGAGTTACACTTACGTCATCTTAATATTATCTCTCTCATTATCTACACCATATAAATTTTAACAATCAATTATATGAAATGAACCTTTTCTCCTTTAAAAAACAGCAAAACCCGAGGAAAAACCATTAAACTAACTGACAATAAAAAAGCATAGCACCAAAGTTGCTGGTGCTAATAATCAGGTGCTGCAAATATCAAAGTTACTGTATTTATGGCATGGCCAGATTTGTGCTATTTACTGACAAAGTAGGTACCAGAACATCTAAAATGCTTGGAACTATGTGATATTCAAAGTTATCCGCCTGCTCCAGAAATCCGCTCCCGTTTGATTAGTTTTTGCCTAATCCTATAACCCACAATAAAACAGTAAAAATATGTATATTATCAGCTCAAAAATGTGTTCAATTGTGACTATTGTTTTTGCTCGCAGATTGCTTTGTTTGATGATCAATGAATAGATGAAAAAGTTGACTTTTTGAAAGTTGCTTCCTCTAATTATTTGAACAATAAGTTAGCTATACATTTTCATACATAATTTACTTGATTAAAATTAATAATAATAATGATAATAAAAACGTTTTTCTGATAGTTTAAATGTCAGGCTGGTATATTGTAAATAATTATGAACAAATTCTCCACAATTTTTTCTTCAACTCTGTTGTGGTTGTCGTGGGAGTTGTCACACTAGGTTGACAAACATGAAATTTTATTAACTTTGTTGACCAGTCAGAAACAACTACTCCGAGAGCAAATACCCCTACCGGCGTTGAACTACACTGATTGGTCTGAGCTTTCGTTGGCAATGAAAATTGTTAGAAAGTTTTTTCAGGTAATGACCAACGTGAATTCAGGGACACAACGGTCCCTATTTGGGAATCGACCCACTGAGCAGCGGACTCAGACTTTCCGTGCCAATGCTTGACGCGTTCAACGAAGTTCAATTTTGCTTGGACAGGGAGCTTCAGCCTATGTCCTTCTGATGAGCCCTAACAAGGACGAAACGCGTCAAGGATTGGCACGGGAAGTCTGAGTCCACTGGTCAGTGGGTCGATTCCCAAACAGGGACCGTTGTGTCCCTGAATTCACCAACGTGAATGAACGTAGATATATTTAGCAACACCTCAGATTTCAGAAGAACATGGTATTTAGAGATATGAGTACACAATGCTTATTCATATTTTTCTATAGTACTTTTGCAGAAGAGTGACGGCCCATTTATGTTTAGTTTTTTACCCCAAAATGTGGCATTTTTAAACCTTCCTTCTTGAACCAAATTTTGGCCAAACAAACTCAAAATACTTATATAGTACGGTTGCTTAGCGAAAAAAAACGCCATTTGATGATACAAGCATAAAATTTGGCACAGTTGCTAATTAGATCATTTTAATCGATTTGAGTCGAGGACCCATCGACTTTTCTCATTGGTACTAAAAAAACCGCCATTTTTTCAAAATGGCGGTCAATTTTTTAATTTAAATTTTTTTCTGGGTAGACAAGCATGATTATACTCTAGTCTATATATTTCGGGGGCGTAGAATAATAAAAAAATAGTTTTAGACGGCTGTGACCTTTGGATGGCCTGAAAAAAGTCAATTAAGGTCGAAAAATAATTTTTTTGAAAATAGCTGCCGAAGTTTTAAAGTTAAAGTTTGTCTTAGCAATGCAGGCATGATTATAGTTTATTGTACATGATTTGAGGAAGAGGATTTCAAAAAATATAGTTTTAGACCGATATGACGTTAATAGACCTTGAAAAATATCAATAAATATATTTTATGTCATACCAATACATTATTGTGTTTTTATTTACGACTAATGTCACCCGCAGGGAATAATGACGAGTAGCGGGATTAATGGTCATTATTGCTCAAAAGTGTCAGTGTCAAATAGGTAGTGCTTGTGGATTTGTATTGAAATGGATGAAATTTTCTATTAAAAATCTCAAATAAAATATTTTGTCGTAAATAAAGTAGAGTATACTACTCGCAATAATGGCTATTATTCCCTCGAAATGTTACTCCCTCGCCGCTAAAGCGGCTCAGTTCGTAAATATTCCTCGCGAATAATAGCTATCATTATTGACTCGTGGTATAATCTACTATTTACCTTTAGATACCATCTACATAATTCATTACTTTATGCCCGTGCGGGCATAAAGTACACATTATGGCCAGCGCGGGCATAAAGACGCAAAAACAGTTTTCAATTAACTTATTCTTTATCAATAAA